TATTTGTAACACTTACAGATCAGACTTTTTGTTTTGAATTTTGTTTTGTTTTACTACCATGATAATTCTGGCTGTTAGTTTTATTGTTAATATTATCATTTTTCAATATGCTAGATACACACATTTTAAAATATGTACCTTATTAAACTATTAGATATTTTTGCAATCATGGGTTTTCTTTGGTCATATTTCACATTTTTACTATAGCAAGATGAAACTGTTGTTTACAGTGTGATCTGTGTCAACCTTTCTTTAGGAATAATCTCTAAATTTTATTCCAATATTAATCTCTTCTAATATATCAGCAGTTCAGATAATGTGAAGGTTTCTCCTTTGTTACTCTTTTTTTTATCCTTTTTCTTTGAGTTGCCTTCACATATATAGAGAGAGTATAATTATAGTAATATTCAAGTACTTAACATGTATCAGTGGGATTCTAGTATTTTTAGGGACTTTATAGCTCATATATCTATTTCCTTGTGGACATTAAATAAGTAATCAAGAGGAAAGACTTACCTTTACAATATATAATGACTTCTTAAATATATTAAATTAAAATTTTTACTTATTTCTGCTTTCCATGTCCTATTCTAAATTTGGTTTATGGTCACTATCATATCTCTCCTTTGAATATGGAGTGACTGTGCTTAAAGGTCTGGATTTGTTGTTTTTCTTTGCCCATGATTTTCCCAGAATCTCAAATTTCCTTATAAAATTTATGTTCAGTTAAGGTGAAAGAAATGTTACAACACAGAAGAGCTCTTGAATAAAATAAAAATAAAATACTTATTTTTAATAAAATAAGATATACATAGACAAGGGACTGGTAAGTGAAGGTAAAAAATATGCCAGTGAGAAAGTGTGATGTGTAATGATTGCGAGAGCATAAAATATCTATGTGGGAAGGCGAGGCACAGTGGCTCACACCTGCACTGCCAGCAGTTTGGGTGCCCGATGTGGAAGGATCCCTTGAGCCCAGGAATTCGAGACCGCTCTGGGAAACATATTGAGACCTTGTCTTTACGAAAAAAAAGTGAAAAATTAGCCGAATGTTATGGCACACACCTGTAGTCCCAGCTACTCAAGGGAGGGGGGCGGGTGTCGAGGCAGAAGGAGCGTTTGAGAGCTGGAAGTCACAGCTTTGGTTAACCATATAGTGACCATGATTGTTCCATTGCAGCCCAGCCTGGGTGATAGAGCAAGACCTTGTCTCAAAATAAACAATAAATAAAATCTAAGTAAATGTTTACGTTTATGCATTTGTATGTTTAAATACATATAAACATACATGGAGAGAAAACATTAATATAATAAATATAAAATAGAACCTCTGTAGCCACAAGATTTGGTATAAAAATTCGATTGACGGTTAGTGAAAGTACTTCTATGTCTCAAGTGTTACAGAGAAAACAAATATGACAGTCTGATTCCCCTAAAGAGTTTCCTTATATGCACGTATTGTACCCTTTAGGACTAATAATGGGAGTTAAAAAATACATCCATTCATTTTATGCCTTTTTTTTTTCTATTCTTTTGCATCTTCAGCTTCATGGTAGTGAATTCAAATCTGATCAGTTGTCCTGAGGAAGCGATATTTTAGGGATGTCCTCAATTTTTGAGGAAGTGTGAGTAATGCACCATAAGCTGTTGACGAGCCTGGAGCATGAGATCCTGAAAGGTTATTTTATGGTCCTGGCCCATATGCTGAATCTAACCTGCAGAAACATTTTGCCCCATACAGTGTTTTTAAAATTCAATTAACTTTTAGTAATTAAGAATGGAAAAATTTTACCTGGAAGGTTCATGATCAACTTCTGTGAAGAAATTCTGAAGCTGAGAAAAGAGTGGGCCCACGTTTCACAAAGCAGCAGTCTGCTGTCAGTGAGCATGGCCTGCGGCCCTTCTTCACGTGGGGTGGTCACTCTCCACCGGGCCTCAGCCCCCATATGGTCTTTTCACTCATCTAAATTCTCTGACACCTCTAAGCACTTTTGTTTGCAACACATGTTTATTTTATACATTATTTACTATTTAATTTTTTAGAGACAAGATCTCACTCTTTAGTCCAGGATAGAGCACAGTGGCTCAATCATTGCTCACTGTAGTCTCACCCTCCTGAGCTCAAGTGATCTTCTCACCTCAGCCTTCCAGGCAGCTGGAACTAGAGGCATGCTCTGCCATGCCCAGCTAATTTTTTTTTTTAAGTTTTATTATTTTGTGGAGACAGGGTTTTGCTGTTTGTCCTAGACTGGTCTCGAACCCACGGCTTCAAGCCTTCCTCCCAACTTGACCTTCCAAAGTGCTGGGATTACCGAGTGTGAGTCACCATGCCTAAGCCTGCACCACAAGTTTAAAATTTAATAAATGAAGTTACCCTCCGAACCATTTCAAAAGAAGGATAAGGAAAGAATGGGAGAGAACCCCCTGTACGTTAGATGAAGACACTTTGCATCTAGTTGTCTAGCCAACACTTAGCGTTGTGCAAGAATTAAAAGGACAGTGTACCCTCTGAGACGTGGACGTGACCACTTAAGTCATTATTTAGAAGGAAGGGGTTCGTAATAGAAACAAACAGAATTAGAAGATCAGATGAAGCTTGTGTCCCTAAACAAGAATCAAGTATTGAGACCAACCGGGAATTTGCTCAAGACAAATTAAAAGCAAAAAGTAAACTGTTTAAGTAAGAAAGAGTTAATTAGGCTTCCAAGATGTTTTCAATCAATGTCAATTTATTATTAGCATTAGGCAGGGAGGAAATGCATAACAAGCAATTATTATCCGGAGAGCAGCCCTTCAATGCCGTCTGTGTTTCTAATTCTTGACCGTACTGTACTCTGGTTTGGTTTGACTCAGGAGTTACCGCAGACTTTCTTGTTTCCCAGGAAATTGGGTGAAAGAAAGAAGCAAATAAAACTAGGAAAAAGTAAATAACTGTGTACATAGGCATATGTGTGCATTTTTAGGCCGAGAAACCCTTTCATCATGAGAATATTAGAGTTCTGTCATCATTTTCCCATCTATCTTATCACTGTTGTTTTCCATTGTTGCTTCTGCCAGTGCTTTTGGTATTTCCCTTTTAGAAACAATGCATTTCCCATTTGCTTTGCAATTTGCCTGTTTGTGTTTTATTCCCCTCTGTCCCTCCTCCTCTTGCTTCTAGATCTTTTATCTTCTTTGCCTCCAACTTTCAATCTGAATGATTGTGTTAGGTCACCCACTGGGCAGGTACTGGGGGAAAAATGTGATACTCTGTTCAGAAAGTAAGTTCTCAGAGGCATCAAATCAACGAGAATCTCAAGGCCTGTGATTTTTAAAAAGAGAGAGAGAAAAGATGATGAAGGCAACTAGAAATATGAAGCACTGATTATTTGTGACCTTAAGCATCGGTCCAAACATGTGTTCCTACACACACACACACACACACACACACCCACCCCGACTTACTACATGTGTTCCTACACATACACACACACACACACACACACACACACCCCGACTTACTACATGTGTTCCTACACACACACACACACACACACACACACACCCCGACTTACTAGAGGAATAAAATTATTAGAGGTTCTACAAATCATTCTTACAGAGTGCTTTAACAAAGGGCATTTTTTAAAGCTATGCTACAGAGACGTAACTATAAAAGAAAAGGAAAGCAATACATTTTCTCCAAAGGCTTCTTTTCAACTATAAATTACACTGTATTATATGTGTTTTAAAATGTTTTTGCTGAAGTTGCCACTTGAGATGTTTTAAAGCGCACTTTAGATGTTCTTTTTACTCCTCTGCTGTGAAGTATTGTTGTTCTGTTTTTTTTCTTTAAATATAAATGGAATTCTCATTTAAATTTGAGGGAATATGTACATGTTCAGCCGCAGCACATTGAGACGTGCCGTAATATAAAGGGTAACGATCAAAATATTTAACAACTGGGAAAGCATGGGCACTCAACAATCAGAGCAGACAGTGGCCAAGAATAATGTATGATTATATGTGCCGTTGACACCCTGACTCAGCCTTGTATGTAATGGATAGAGGGGAACTGATAGGCTTAGGTGTTGACTAGGAAGTTTAAGTTAGTAAAACTTACTCTAGTACATTTGAGTAAGGTGTTTTAAACCTAATAGACTTCTGATTCTTTATTACAGAAGAATCAGAATAAAGAATCTGATGAACGGCCCTTTCAAATTATCTATTAAATAGATTACATGGGTAATATGAGAATTATAGATGATCTCTGTAAGTTACCATATTTCTGATCATAAGTGTATTCTATAAACTTCTTGATTTTTGTAGTAGTTTACCTTCGTGGCCCTACGGACAATATTTTGTTTGTATTAGGTGAAGTGCGTTAAATAATTTAACATAGTTTAGAGATTAGAAGTAATTATTTGTAAGTGGTAGAGTTCTGTTGTTTTGTTTTTCCTTTTTTGCATGTCTTTTTCAAAGTGTGGGCTGGTAAGAAAAAATGCTAAGTGATTCTGGTTGCCTGTAGGTTTTGTTAATGAAGTAAAGGTAGGATTTTATAAATGTAATTGGAAATAATTTTTAATGTTACATGTAGTGCTAGAGAGTAAGTTCCCACTCACTTGTAAATAACAGTACTTTTAGGTAATTTAGCACTTAATATGCTTTTGGCAATATTTCAGGCACTTTATATATATTTATTATTTATTACAACTATATCATGAAGTAAAGAATTTTATCCTTAAACTTGAATTCAGAGGCTGATGTACTTTACACTTGTTAGTTCTACTGTATCTTGTGTAGGTGTTCTATTACTCCAGAGCAGGATTTGTAACATTCTTTGTATAACACGTTCTTGCCCTGTATACAAAGAGGTTAACTTGGACAGTGTAAAGGAGCTTGGTTTTTCACTAAGCTGATACATGTGTGTAGGTTTCAAAAGGTTTAAACAGGTACACTAATGGAAGAACTTGGTGAATACTCATGTTGATTGTGAGTTCAATCCTTTGCCTCCCTGTTTTCAGTACCAGGGCAGCCACTAAACTTCAAAGCAGAACCTGAGTCTGAAACAAGTATTTTGCTCTCTTGGACACCTCCACGTTCAGATACCATTGCCAACTATGAACTGGTCTACAAAGATGGGGAGCACGGAGAGGAGGTAAGACTGTAGTGCTTCTCACCCTGGGAATTATTCATTATATTGGGCCTCTTCTTTTTTGTATTTACCACATTCTTGGTCAGATAGCTACTGAGGACCTTGTTGGAAAAGATTTACTAATTAAAAGAGGAACTTGACCCCCCCACCCCCACAAAACAAACAAACAACCAACAACAACAACAAAAAACAGTTGTTATTTGGAGGTTTGGGGGAGAAACAAAACAAAATAACTCTTGATCCTGTTGGAATATGCTTCTAACAGGTTTCCAGGGCCCATAGACGTATCAGGTTATGGAAGTATAATTACTCACTGAGACTTGGAGACTTTCTTTCTCTTCTGCATGAAAATATTTAAGTCACTGTGGGGACAGGTGACTAAATTAGCTCTATATGTTAATGAAAGTCCTTGGCTAGATGAATTTTTCCACACCGGTTTCAAGGATTTCTCATAGCAAATGTTTATTTGTTTGCTAAAAAGCGTTTGGTATGAAGGTGAGTGTATATAACGTTTGAGTATGCTGTGCAAATAAAATAACAGATTGTAGAAGGTATGGCAGTTGTTGATAGTCACTGAGAATCGATATAATTAACTAATTAACTCATTAATAGGCACGGTTCTAAGGTTTCACCTTCAAAAACGCATCTAAGTTTTACAGTAGTACTGCAGCTAGACTTTCTTATTAATCTCTTTGACATATAATAAAATGGGGGCATGGAAAAATAAATAAATAATTTGCTCAAAGTCTCATACTGGTGAATGGCAGAGCTGGGATTTGAGTTTAGGCAGTTGAGTTCCAGAGTCTGTTGTTAACCGTTTGGGTCTGCTGCCTCTTGAGTGCAGTTTGAATGCATTGTAGAAATCGATATTGAGATACATCTAACATTAGCAGAATGGGAATACATAATAGTAATAAATATGTTTCTTTTGTTATTTTGAAATCCGATGGGGAACATTAAGGCAAAAAGAGTTCATGGCACTATATTTGAGAACTCCACTCATACAAGTCATTTTATTATGCCTTTTAGCATTTTTTATCTGAAAAAAGATCTTCACAAAGTGAAACAGTCCCTGAGTTCTAATAAAGAATATCTAAAAAAAAAACTCCCATACTAAATTAACTATTATCAATTAACTTACAGTACATAATTTTGAATGTTATAATAAATTAATATGTTCTTGTAAACTCTATTTTATGACATCTGTTTGAATTGAGCAGAATCTCAAAAGAATAGGTTTTAAATGCAGTGCTTTTACATTTAACTAACAAAGCCAATATAAATCAAGTACTCAAAAAGTTATATAGTGAAATGCAGATATGACTTAAAGTATTCGTGATACAACTTGAGCTATTGATGTCTTTTGTAAGGCATAAATCAGCATTAAATTGCTTTAGACGTCATCATCAGCAAACTAAAATACATGCATGCATGCATACATACATAAATACATACATACAAAGAGTAAAGGAGAATCGTGGTCCTTTGAGAATACTATGGATGCTTGAATGTTGGCATAGCTACTATGCTCTATAATTGCTTATTTGGAGAATTTCTTTATTTCTTATTTGGTGGATCTGTATGTTCTGAAAACCTTTGTATTTGTAAGCCAGAACATCCTTGGGATGATGTCTCTAGTTTTGTATTTGAATTCTTCTTAACTGATTTGTTTGTGTGAACAACAAACACCATTTGATAAAAAGCCTTAAGATTACACACACCATTACTAGATTATGTACTCACTTGCATTGTAAGATTTGCCATAGGCTGATATTCAAGATTGATTGCCCATAGACACTTACATTTTTGCTAAATGGCAAATGTTAAGCATGGGAGGTGAGAGTTATAGCATTTGATTAACGAAATCTTATTTCAAAAGTCCACGAAAGTTTGTCAAAAAAAGTTTGTATTTTTTTTTCTGGCTGCGGAGTCTATATTCACAAAGAAAGAAAGAAAGTTTTTCAGTTATTTTGATCAACCTAGGGTAATAATGTGGTTTCAGATAAATTATTCAGCTTTCTTTAGTGACTAATGTGATTTTTATCCCATCAAAACTTGGGAATTTCAAATCTGTTTTGTAGCAACCGCTTGTGTATTGTATACTGGTTACTGTTGCTACTTCTGGTCGTATTTTCTTTGCCTGCAATTGAGATTTCAGAAGGTCATGGGAGATGAGTAGACATCTTAAAATTGCTCATGTTGAGCGTATTCCACTCCCAGGGGCAGGTGTCAGCTTCTGTTGTGGTCTGTGTCACAGCAACAGACACACATTTAAGGGCAGAACACACTCATAGGTGTTGGTCTCTCAGTCTTTCTCTTATATGATGTATTTGGTGAACAGTGTCAAAATTTAAAAGATCTCTGACTTCCCTTACTCCAGTTACCTTTGTAGAAACTTGCCTTTTAAACTCAGATTTTCTTTGTATCATTTCCTCAGTATAGCCCTGGATGCTCACTATTGAGTCTTTTGGTGATATTTTGTTTGTTTGTTTATTTATTTTTATTTTTATTTTTTTTTTGAGACGGAGTTTCGCTCTTGTTACCCAGGCTGGAGTGCAATGGCGCGATCTCGGCTCACCGCAATCTCCGCCTCCTGGGTTCAGGCAATTCTCCTGCCTCAGCCTCCTGAGTCGCTGGGATTACAGGCACGCGCCACCATGCCCAGCTAATTTTTTGTATTTTTAGTAGAGACGGGGTTTCACCATGTTGACCAGGATGGTCTCGATCTCTTGACCTCGTGATCCACCCGCCTTGGCCTCCCAAAGTGCTGGGATTACAGGCTTGAGCCTTGGTGATATTATAATGAGATGATAATCCTGATGATAGAAATCTGATGTTCCAGACAGTGTGATTAAAAAGTATTTTCATGAATCTTACTGAAGATGACCACATTCTCTTATTGCTTCCAGCAACGAATTACCATTGAGCCAGGGACATCATATAGGTTGCAAGGACTGAAACCAAACAGCTTATACTACTTCCGTCTGGCTGCACGCTCTCCCCAAGGCCTGGGTGCTTCTACTGCGGAAATATCAGCTAGAACCATGCAGTCAAGTAGGTGTCTCTCTTTGCTTACTTTCTGCCTTTTTATTTCCACTGGGAGATGTTGCTAGTTTTCACCTCTACCAACAAACAAACCTGCTGATATGCTTAATGGTAGTCTTTAGGTTAGTATGCATCATACTTCACAGATGAAAGTACAACTGTGACTTATTTTGGTTTCACACTTGATCCAAATTACAGACCCCCCTTTCATACTTCCTGCATTGAAAGACTTAAAGAAGTTAGTTGACCTCCATGGGTGAAAAGTGGATGAAAGGAGTTAGATCAGGCCTGTGTAATGAATGATAAGGCTTTAAAGCAAAATTCACATTGAGAACCCTAAAAAATAATCACAGGAGGGCTTGGCAAATGAAAGAGGCAGCAAAAGACCAAAAAAAAAAAAGACTTTTTTTTTTAAGCACACAGGCTTTGGCTTTGCAAACAAGTAAGTCCTTATTTCACGTAATAATTTCTACTGAGAAAAGCTCAGCTCTTATGACTTGTTTCTTACTAACTCTGTGAATAGTACCTGGGGAAATTTGGAACATTAAGAGAAAATCTATATCTGGACAAATTTAGAAACAATGGAATAATTGCGAGCATATTTGCCATTCTAAGTTACATTTTGTTTCCTCAGGTTCAGTTTCTTTTTGGAACTGTTACCCTTAAGCATAGCTGTGTTTATCACAGTGGGGGTTAATTTTGCCCAGGGCAGAGTGTTTTGCATAAAGTATTATATAGGACATTGTTTTTGATGGCAAGTTTGGTGGCTTATAATACTATTAATTGCTTTTTATAAGTAAGTGTCTACAGTTCATCCATAAAAATACTATTTATCTTGAAGTGAAAAGTTTGCGGAGTTATTTTCTTAGGTTTCTTTGTGTAATATTTTGTATTTGCATTTTGACATAGTGAACTATACAATAGATATCTATAGTAGAAATACACTGAATTTTGTCAAGAAGATGCTCTGTTGACCTCAAATCATTTTATTTTCTATAGATACTTGAAATCTTTCAAGAGTTTTTGATAATAAAATTTATGTTTTTCCCTCTTAAAGCATGATTATTCACATGAAAGTGATTATGATCCTGTTTAATCTATTAGTAATTATACTTTAGTCCCATAACATTTTCTCTCGTTTAATGACAGAGGCATGTAAATTAATGTATTCTCTGTATGTCTGCTTTAAATTCTAGGCAGGCTAATAAATCGTATTGTAGAAGATAATTTCTTAAAACCAAGCATTTAATTAAGAGAAATGTTACATGCCTCAATACTGTATTTTGCAAGATTTACAAACCTCAGTTTTTAACATACACACACACACACGCACACACGCACACAGACAAATTGAATAGACTTTTTATAAGCACATCAAACATTTATCTATTCTTTATTTTATTAAAGTAAAATTTTCAAATGGTGTTGAATATATTCTCACAAAATAGGAGGTGTTAAGATAGCCCCAGTGAAAACCAAATCAGCTTTTGAAAAAGAATTACAAATGAGTCCTTGCTGTTACATGAACAACTCAATTTATTATGAATAATGATAATGCATATAAAATAGCTTTATAATTTGAGATATAAGAACCTCTAGTCAGAATCAATAAAAATGAGATTTTAGTGATTTTGCAAATCTTATTCCAAATTTACAAGGCTGTCCTATGAGGATTTCTTTTTTGTCAATACAGAGAGCTTTTATTCTGATTGACTGTAATAATGAACACAAGGCATGTAAATTAAGAAAGACTGATAATCCCCTAAATAACTGGATACACCTGGCACTCCATAATATTAAGACTCACAAAGTCTAGGGAAATCCCCAAACTCCGCATTCAAATAAAAAAATAGGATTGCTTTATTTACTCTATCGTATATATTCCTTTAAAAATATATATTGTGCCTATGGAGTTGTATATCTTAGCCCACTTGTTAGTTCTTTTTTAGGAACATATATTATTAAGTTTAAAATAATTTATAGTAATAGTTGTATTATTCTTTATTGGTTTTTAATTTTTTTAAATAATAATTTTTGGTTGATTGGAAAATAATTGCTTAGAAAGTGACTAGTTTTATTTACAATGGGCAGTAAGAAAGTATATCTTTTAACTCTAATATAAACCCTACGTTGTATGAATAATTACGTACAAAATGAAAGAAACTTTGCACATAAGTTACATCTTTTCCATATGATACTTGGGTTTTTAAAAAAAGGTTCTTTTTAATGGCTGTGTTATTGACATTTTGTAAGGGATAAATGATTATTATTGATTTTACCAAATTTTGCTGGTGGGATCTAATTCTTCACTAGCAAAGGTGTCTCAAGAAGAGTTATAATAAAAAAGCTGAAAGCTGACGTAGGGTAAGTACAAGTTACAGTCAGAATCAACAAGCCTGACATTACCCTCGGGTAGGTAAATCTTGGACTCTGCATTTTCATTCTTTATTGATTCTGCATGCTCACTGTATATGGTCTACGATCAATGTTAAGTGAACTTTTTTTTTAATTATTAAAACTGGTCAGGCAAACTCCTTTTTTCAGATAGAGTGAACCCTTTTATGTTTGTTGTTTACTTATTTATTTTTAATTGGAATGGTAGAAGGGCATTAGCAGTTACTGTAACTTTTCGTACTTGAAAAGCCTTTCACAACTGAGTAGCGTATGTAAGCCATCCTTATTCTAGAATGTAAAAGTGAAAGCTTGGAAACAAACATCTGTGAAGCATCATCAGACCCTCAAGTAAATACTAGCACTGTTTGCAGCTTTTTTGAAGCTGGGTAGTCAGTATAGTGGGGGTGAGAGATACTGAGGGATTGGTTTAGAAGAAGAATTTATATCGCAGGTAGGTAATTTTATTTGAGGCTCCATTATCTCAAGGTTTCATTTTCACAAAGTCCCCCCACCCATTATTTAACAATTATTTTTGGTCATTAATTCATTTTTTTGGTTTATTCATATTACTAAGCCAAGGTACATGATTTGTCATTAGAATTTAAGTTTCAAAGCCTTCTTTTTGTTTTGTCCTTACTGTTCGTTTATTTATTTTGCCTTTTCTTTTGTTTTATCATTTTTTTTTTCAACCACTCCTGTCCTTTCACTTAAATCCTCCTTTAACTCACTACCAAAATAAGAGCCGTCAGCTCCTCCTCAAGACATTAGTTGCACCAGCCCAAGTTCCACTAGTATTTTGGTAAGTTGGCAACCTCCACCAGTGGAAAAACAGAATGGCATTATCACTGAATACTCCATCAAGTATACTGCAGTGGATGGGGAAGATGACAAGCCTCACGAGATTTTGGGAATTCCTTCGGACACTACCAAATACCTTTTGGAACAGCTGGAAAAATGGACTGAATACCGGATCACTGTGACGGCCCATACGGATGTCGGCCCTGGCCCTGAGAGCTTGTCCGTGTTGATTCGAACCGATGAAGATGGTATGTTGCCTCCGCTACGTCAGTTTGCACCCTTCTGACACAGTCTTGGTCTGCTGTCTTTCAATAGGCTAACAGTAATCTTTTTTCTCTGCTCATCTTTTTACCCAGCATTGCTGTTACTTTTGTATTTTTGCCAAAGACTTGTCTTTGCTACAGCCTGGCCTTTTTTTTTTTTCTTTTTTCAATCTCAATGCAGTAATTTGCTTCTCTTTAAAAGAACAGTTGGCTCCTATGGTCTTGCAATCCAGCCCGTCTCTGTACCTTCATCTAAAGTCTTCTGTGTTTCTCTTGGCTTTTTGTAGTCACTTCTTTTACATTTTGAGGTTAACTTTTCAAAACTACCTTCTTATCTTTTTGTTGCCTTTTTGTCTTACATATTTCAGAGACACTGATGCTCAACATTCAATTTTTGGCATCTTTTGTGTGGAATACCTTTGATATGAGAAAAAAAGAGAAGATAATCCATATAATCAAGAATCTTTTTATTCTGCTGTTTAAAAAGAAACCTTTAAAAAACACACAACAATCAACAGCCAGTTTTTGTTATTATTTCAATGCTTTACCTCTTTGTGCTTAATGCTTTGAACCTCAAAGCATCTTCCTTGGCTTTTGTACATTTTTTACATGTTTTTCTATTTCTCTGATACTCTTTTTTTCTTCCATTTTTTTTTTTTTGCATCGGTCATGTTTTTTGATCTTTTCTTAAAATGTAGAGCAGATTGGTTAAGCATTTTCATTGGTTGAAAATGTTTGTATTCTTCAAAGGAAACATAGTGGGTTTACCCATTTTTTGAAAAAAGAAAAGTAAAGAAAATGCAGAGAATGCTCTGATTGGGTGGGACACGTGCCTATAATTTCTTTTATCCAATGATGTTGTTCCAGTTCCTAGTGGTCCTCCTCGCAAAGTCGAGGTAGAGGCTGTCAACTCAACATCTGTTAAAGTCTCATGGCGCTCACCTGTGCCCAATAAACAGCATGGCCAGATAAGAGGATACCAGGTGCATTATGTGAGAATGGAAAATGGTGAGCCCAAGGGCCAGCCCATGCTGAAAGATGTCATGCTGGCTGATGCACAGGTAAGCCTCTGAAATTATGTGTCTCTTTTTATATTATAATTTTTTTGGTTGATATCTTGAAATCTGCCTTATTTTAGTTTTTCAACATTTAATAAATCCTGTACGAAATTCTAGTTTTCAATACACATTGATACATATTGATCTTTTCAATCAGAGTTACTGTCAAGTAAGGAAGGGAATTGAAATGAAATGACACTCAAGTCTGATTAAAAACATGTTATGGTTTCCTTAAAATACAGATTTTTCAACTCTTGACAACCATATCTGAGTTTGCCTTTACAAAAAAATGATTGACTTAGTTGAGTCAAAGGGAAGAATTCTAAGCTGCAATTTTGCTGATAGAATCTGCTTTCTTCTGTGCTAAAATGACTTGGAACTTAGTTGTGCTGGTTTCTAAATGTATGACTTCTTCCCTGAAGAATAGACATTTATATTCAGGGAAAGATACTCAGTATTTTATTTAGTACTACTTCATCAAATTACATATTTGATGAAAGTCATTGTTTCCTGTCCCAGAAAATGAAGATCATGACAATGATACTAAAATTAAATCAGAGTTTCCTAGAGAATAAATGGGATCCTTATGTGGAACCAAGATTAAAAAAAAAAGAAAGTACTAAAAATGAATAGTTGAGTATGTAAGAAATTGTATTCATCTTAGGGCAGTGGTTTGTAACTATGATATCATATCAGAATCTGGTTTTGTAATTAGTTTTTTAAAACAGAGCATTGAAAATTTTCAAAGTTTTTCGTAAATTATAGGTGATTCAAAGATAGTCCCATAATAAATTCCCTTGTGTTTTACATATTTTCCTGAAAGGAAGATGATGATTTCAACTTGTAACTACCATGCTGAAAATTGTACATAACTCATAAACTAGCTTACCTTTGCTGTGTCAAAAGGTGATGAGATATAATGGGGGTGGGATATTACAAACATTGGAATGCTTTCATTAGCCAAGAAATTGGTGACTTGGCAGGGAAAGTATGGAGTGTGTAAAAATTTGAAATGTATTTCACATGAAAATGCCTTCGTTTGAAAGTAGGAAAGATTATGAAGCAAGTTGAAAACTGCGGCACCAGGTTGCCCAGTTCTACATTCTTGTCTGTGAAAATAAGAGTAATAAATATCCCTGTGGCTCTAAGGAAAGCACTTACCCCAAAGTCTTAATACAAGTCAACTCTCAAATGTCTTCCTGTTTTCTTCAGTTTTGAAACATTCTAAGTAAAGGGATCTGGATTCATGGCTCACTTATCTACCCCAAGGCCTCTTCTTTAAACGCGGTAGAGCTTCCTGTTATCCCTTCAACACTGGAAATGGCCCATTCACTTAATTTTTATAAATGATTATTATGTAGTGCCTATAAAAAGGAAGTTACCATTGTTTAAATTTATTAAGCCATTATTGCTTTGTTTTATCTTGTAAGTCTACAATTATGAAAAAGAAAACAATATGATCATTGTGCTTTGATGGTCTTCTTTGGTTCTTAGATATTTTATATTATAGAATTGTAATTCTCTCTCTATTTCCATTGTAAAATATGGTAGTTAATGAAATTATATAATGCCAAATGCATTAAATCTCAACTCTGTCTTTTTTTCTCTTCTCCATTGGCTTTTCTTTATTAATTGCTGATTTTCCTTGTGTATTTTCTTTCTTTCTCATCTCATTTATTTTTCTTCACTCTGCACTGAAATTTCATTACATCTCACAGGACTTCACTGAAGCTATAAGTGTTAAATATAATGAACAATATTAATCTAAATAGTGACTTTTAATTGTATAACTTAAGATAGAAGTCAAAATTAATGTTATGAGTAGGACATGATTAGAAACATTAGCTTTTTCTGTGCCTCACTGGTATGTTTCAGTGAACCATATATTTAAAGAATATTAGCTGGCTTTAGTGATAACAGTAGCAGTACATATTTAATTTGATCTCCTAAGTAGAAGTGGAGGTAGCAGCAAAACACACATTCTTTGGAATTATATTGTACACCCTGCTTCAATTGTTTCTTTATTCTATTTTTGTTTAATCTAAGAAGGGCAACACTGCCTGTATAAGGCTTAAAATTCTATTTCTTTTTATTTTGTTTTTCTCCCAACCTTCTTATTCTCAATCAGTGGGAATTTGATGATACTACTGAACATGTGAGTAATTTTGAGTGTTTTGTCAAAAGCAGACTACATATGCTTGTTTCCTCTGACGTCCTTCTTTCACTTATTTGTGATCTGTCATCACAGTTTGCTTGGATGCATGAACTAACAAATTATTTTTTAAGTTATCTTTACGGTGTGGTGCACTTTTTATTTTGGTTTTTGTTTTGTGAAATCAGCATGGTGCTATTGACTGCATAAGAAATGATCATTTGTGATATTTGTTTTGATGGCTGCTACTAACTCTGCCTTGTGACATAGTCAGAGGAGGCATGCTTTAAAATTCAGGGGTGTTTTCCAATCTTTTCACTTCTCGGGGCCACAATGGAAGAATTGTCTTGGGCCCCACATAAAATACACTAACATTAATGACTGCTGATGAGCTAAAAAAAAAAATCTCATAATGTTTTAAGAAAGTTTATGAGTTATGTTGGGCTGCATGTTGGAGAAGCTTGCTTTAAATGGAGGCATGGCAGACTGGAGATGTGAAATGTTTTGGTGTAGGCTTCTTATAAGTCCTACTCCAGGATTACATAACCAGAGGATAACAAGATGTAGATCTGGCACTGAATAACTATATCTAGAAGTGGCTGTTTTTCACTTTCCACATACATATTTGAGTAACAAATGGTTTATGCCAAGAAGTAGAAGGTATCTTGCCGAGGGGGGAATGTTTTTTAAATACTTGAATGAAAGCTCTATGTTATTTATTGAAGGACTGTTACATATATTACACTGCAAGGGACACGTGACATGACATCTGCCTTTCTAGTGTTTACATTCTACGTGGCTAGAGAAGAGTCAATTTCTGAAAAGTTTCATAAAATGCAGCAAAAGGCCCAAAGCAGTGTACAGCAGTGGACATTGACACTGTCCACTAATGCATTAGTAAATTAGTGGACCATGTCAATAAAACCTAGGAATTCAGAGACAATGTTCCAAGATGGTAAAAGGAGTCCAGTAGCTTAGTTGAAAATTTAAGGGATGGCTAAGGACTGAATAAATGAAAAAGTGTGTGTGTGTGTGTGTGTGTGTGTGCGCGCATGTGTGTGTGTGTGTGTGTGTGTGTGTGTGTGTTGGGAAGTTGGAGGTGGAACATATATATATATATATATATTTTTTTAAATATATATATATTTTAAGTTGATCAAAGCAAAACCAGTCATTGAGACAGTTGAGCATGTAGTATAGTTAGGTGACAGTGAGCCTGACAATTTGTTATAAATGAAGGCTTCATATACGTAATCTTAGTGGCAAGTATAGCTAAGAGGTAAATGATAATATAATGCTGGGAAAACCAGAAGAGTCAAGCTTAAAATCTGGTCGGTCAGTCTTTAACACTTCAATATTAGAGCGATATAGAAGAAATAAATAGAAAAATGAGTTAAAGGCTGTCAGGAAGGTATTCTTCCATTCACTGAATAAATATTTACTGCCAATGCACAGGGCTTTTTTGGGGAATATTGTAACTATGTCCAAGGTATCAGTTCTCATGGGAATGCCAGTGCAGCAGCGTTTTTGACCGTAAACTTCTTTGACTGTAACTCACAGTAAGAAATACATTATAGGTCATGATTCAATATACACCTATGTTTTTTGGGGTTTTTTGTTGTTGTTTTTTTTTTGAGACAGAGTCTCGCTCCATTGCCAGGCACCAGGCTGGAGTGCAGTGGCACGATCTGGGCTCACTGCAACCTCCACCTCCTGGGTTCAAGCAGTTCTCCTGCCTCAGCCTCCTGAGTAGCTGGGACTACAGGCGCGTGCCACCATGCCCAGCTAATTTTTGTATTTTTAGTAGAGACGGGGTTTCACCATGTTGGTCAGGATGGTCTTGATCTCTTTACCTGGTGATCTGCCCACCTTGGCCTCCCAAAGTGCTGGGATTAAAGACGTGAATCACTGCGCCTGGCTGTACATATATGTTTATAAACATTTTATAGAACCATAGTTATTTAAATGTATAATAAACACTAACATTTAGTATTCAAGTTTATTCCATTTCATTTTCAGTTAGTTAGTTTGTTTAAATTCTGGTCATGACTGACTAAATTGGTTTCACTACCTACTAAATGGGTCATTGCCTGCAGTTTAAAAACCAGTGACTTAGTGGAGAGATTAGAGAGTAAAAAGGTGGCAAATAGAAAAGCAGGTAAAAAGAGTTATTTTACTAATTTAGTCATGAAATGATAAAAATTCAACAGAGTTGAGGCAGTAGAAATGAAAAAAATGATAGGATCAATAAAAGGAAGTACGGGCAAAAACTTGCTAAGAACTGAGGAAGAGAAAGATGTCAAACATAACTCTTAAGTTTTGCCAGATGTGTTCCCATTCATTAAAATACGGAAGTAACGAGGGAGAGCCTACTTCCGGGAATGACTTTGAAGTTTTACTTGAACTTGAAGTAACACTGGATAGTCACAGGAAGACATCCAGCAGATATTTACAATGTATGCGCTACTGGAACTCAGATCGGAAGTCACAGCTGGAAATCAATCAGGAATATGGGCAGAAATAATTATTTAAAGTTTTTGTGTTTTTTTTTTAAGATTAGAGAGAAACAGTAGACCAAGCCTCAGGTATGCCAACTTTTAACAGTCAGGGACAAGAAGCAAAGTGGAGACAGGACAGGAGGAAACAGAGAATGAGGAGTAGTGGCCATAATATTAGGCACATCATCTCACAGAGCACTGAAACCACCAAGGAAGGAAGTGTATCCGCCACTTAAAGAAAGAAAATGTGATCTGCGAAAGGATATGATCACGGCAGATGAAGCTGTGTCCCGCTGAGATTATACCACTGCAGGGGACTTGACAGATTTCAAATTGTTACGTAGGTTACTCTCTAACAACCTGGGCAAGAGAACGGATATGTGTGGTTACTCCAATTTCATGATAAGGCTCAGAGTGCACACATTTCTTGCTACAAAATTTGGTGATGGAAGTAAGTCTTGCTTCTTTTTCCAGTTAGCTGAGCTGCTTTTCAGCAGCACTCTGGTGACATGTGAGGGGAACCTTAAAAGCAATAACACCGGCATTTACTCATCATAGTTTTTGGGACAGCCAGTGTGTCTACTGTCATTTAAAGTACTGCGCTTGGATAGTTTGCTTGGTTTTTGTATCCTCTGTAACGTTAGGGAAACCATTCCAAGGTCCTGGAAATAAAACATCTCTCCTAGATAGTCCATTTATCTAGCAGAATAAAATTTCCAGTGACTCTTCAGGATGATAGCTGAACTTCTTGAATTTCCACAATGAGATATTTCTACTCTTTTGACAAAGCGTGTTGTAAAAAGCTGTCATAGTTTGGGACCTGCTTCAACAATTGAATTTTATGGTATCTGTTACAGCCTTGCTTAAAAAACCCTACTGTATTTTACACAGTCTAATTTATTCACTCGTCATCACATTGTGTTTAGATTTGGAAGACAATGACATTGTGTATTTTTCTAAATTTATCCATATTCAATTTGAAAACACAGCTGTGCCAAAAATCTGAAAGGGTTTTTATATTGCTGTGTGTGTGTGTGCGCGTGCATGTGTGTGTGCACGCACCTGTGCGCTTGTGTATGTGTGCATGCAGCTCTGGTCTTTGTTCTTAAAATACTAGACCAAATTAATAGCCAGAATCTCTAAAGAATCCTGTAACCTGTAGTTTAAAGGAATAAATCAAACACCATCTGGTCTTATAACTGCCACAGCTTTGGGCCCTGACTAAGAGAAAGCTAAGAATTTGGGGAAATAGTATGTGATATTTAACTATATTTAGAAACTCAGAATAAATTGAGCACATATTGGTGATGTGCTGAAACTAAAGTCCTATTGTATTCTTTGCTTTTATGGGCTGCTTTTTAATTTCACAGAAAATTCTCAGTGGATAATGATTTCTTCTCATAGCCTATACAAATAACCAATAAAAATGATAATACAATCAATTAATAAGAGAGTCCTAAGAAAATTTTCTTTCAGGGTACTAGATCCAATAACAACCATTTGGTAAAATTCGTCTGTAGTGATAAAACAGACCATGTTGACTGTGGCTTCCAGTGGATATGTGTGGAGAGCAGTTGGCATAAAACAACAGCTCTTTTATGGAATCCTTCCCATGAGTCAGGCATAGTTCTGTGAGTTTTCCTAATCTGACCCATATGATCCTGTGGGGTCCTATTATAATTCCAACATTCAGATGGGAAATGGAGGCACAGAGAGGTAAACTTCCTCGGTCTGTCCAAGCAAGTAAGGACATGCAAGGTTAAGCTTAAGAATTCAGGAAGTTTGGCTCCAGATCTCATGTTTTTGACTAATACGCCAAGAGCTACCTCCCAAGATGCCTGAAGACACCCCTTCGATATCAGCATGAAAACAGATCTCCATAGCATGAGCTCAGGCATGAAATTTCCAGGGCTTAGCTTGGCTGCAAAGAATGTGCAAGCATGTGCAGAATGAAGGTGGATGACCTTGTTTTTCCCCTAGGGCATTAGTAGCATGTTTTGAATCAGTGACATTCTATTGTGTCATTTCAGGACATGATCATTTCTGGGCTCCAGCCTGAAACTTCCTACTCCCTTACCGTCACAGCCTACACAACCAAAGGAGATGGCGCTCGCAGCAAGCCCAAACTGGTGTCCACCACTGGGGCAGGTAATCATCTCTGCGCATGTATGTGCCTTGAATAATACTGACTTTCTAAATGGTATGGGTGTTTTCTACCAGGCTTTTATTATGGTAAAAGCAGAAGAAATAAATGGACTAAGGTCAACTTTTGTGTTTTTAGTTCAGGGACAAAGAAATAGATCAGGGGAATAAATTATCCAAGTGCATACTTTGTCCAGATATTCAGTCAGGCATTCAACAAGTATTTTTTTGAGCACCTTCTGTGTGTCAGGCACCGGGGATGAAGCAATCAGCAAAATAGAAAAACAGTCTGCACTCATGAAATTTACTTTCCGATTAGAACTAGATAATTAACAAGTGACAAAATAAGTATATCATGAAATGTCAAAAGTGGTAAGATGAAAAGTAAAAGTATATAGACAATGAAGGATCAGGCAGCCTCTAGGGGCTGAGAAGGTCTCATTGAGGAAGGATTATTTAAGTTGAGACTCAAATGAGGTGAAGGATCAGGTCCCATGAAGGTCTGGAGGGAAGGTGACTAGGCAGGGAAGTCAAACAAGTTTAACTGCTCACAACAACAAATCCCCTTAGAAGAGCTGCCATCTTGAGCCGAGTTCATGACTTACAGGTCTACCTTTTGTCATTTTGTCTTCCCCATCTCTGCTGTGGGAATTCTAAAGAAGCCAAAGGGAACAGAAGATAGAAAACAAAAAGAAAAAGAAGAAAAGCAAGAGGGGAAAATGGTATAAAGTTACTCCTTTCTAAACAATAAGGCTTCTTCAGCGCTTTTTAGGGTTACTTTGATCAGCCACATTAGGAAAAGCCAGCATGAAGGATGATCTGGCATTGTAGAACCAGTAAATTAAGAGATAACTGCAGAAGGCACCTCCTCCAATCCTCATACATAGCAATCTCCCATGAACATGTAAGCCATGATTTGATTTATTCTGCCTGAATCACTTCTCAGACAACTTTTAGGAACATACCTCTATGTAAAGGCATAAAGTAAAGAACAGCTGTGATGTTGAGTGCCCTCCTGGGTGCCGTGCTCATTGCCAGCTTTGTCTAAATGTCATAAGATTTGCCTCGCTCGCATCCTGCCACCTGGAATTGCCTCCAGCAGCAGGATTACAGATGGCAAAACTCCTTCAAGGCAGAGTCTTCTAGGCTTTTTTTTTTTTTTTTTTTTGAAGAATACCATTGTATCAAGCCAATTTAATGCCCTGAAGAGCAGACACATACTCAGTGAGGGACATGATGACTATCTGGCTGTGGAACCAGTCTCTATAAGAACATCAGCAACCAAGAATTGAATCTCAAATTGAAGAAAATATATGTCCTTCACCTACATTTATAAGTATGTCGTAATAACTCTGAAATGTCTTACATGAAGCACTACTCCCCTGTTGCCCACAAAATGGGATCATGTTCTGATGACAAGAAAGCAGAGGATTTAGAGCCAGGGGATATGGATTTTAGAGAAAGGAATGATTTTGTCTCTTTTAACATCACTAAGTCTAGCTCATCTCTTTTTAGTTACCATGTAATAGACATTTTAGAATTTTGGAGCTTATTCATATATAGAATTATTTTGGAATTTTCATTCACAATTTCGGATCCTTCTCAATCAATAGAGGCTTGGGTATTGAGATAGAAAGTGTTTGTAATTTAGATATCTACACATTTATTTTTGTAAGACCTCCCCACTGCACCAAAGAAGAAGGTGGAAAAATCCAAATTTAATTCCTTTGAGAGAGAAACTCTAGTTTTCCTTTGCATAAGCAGTCCCTACTCATGGTTTATCATCATGCAGTTAGTGAATATATCAGTTTGTTTTGTTTTGTATACTGTTTTAAAAATCCTCACATATTTATGTGACTGTGAAGAATTACTGAGTTTATCTCAAAGATGTGCACTCCTAATAACTACAATTATAAAGGTATTTAGTTACAGCTCCCACAAAGATTTCAGGAATTCTCGTGAAATTTAATTTAATAGTAAACTTCCTGATTGTGGCATTTTTTTTATTATACCTTGTTTCTAGAACCTGCAAATAATCATATCTTTGAAACAAGAGTACTCATCATAGTTTAAGTAATCTATGTAAAATTCCTATAACTTGAAGGATGATTCTAAAGACAATCTTAACTTTTATGTTTCAAAGATTATGACATGTTTGTAGTTTCTTTGTTAAAACTCCCATTACTCTGTATTGTAATAATTGGTTTACTGCCTAAGGCCTTGAGGTTAAAGGCAAACAGAAAATTCATTGGTTTGACATTTTCTGCATATTTTTACTTGAATTTCAGTACTGTATTGAACAGCTATATTTAAGGATGATCAAAAGATGACCGTGACAGGGAGAATTTGGAAATATTCACCTAAATCTAGTAAATTATGATTGTTGCTGTTTTGGTATTACGTTAAATTGAGGCTAAATTTAGAGTACCTCAGTTGATTTCCAATGATTGCACTTGCTAAAAAGTAAAGGGCAACTACACATATGTACCAATTCTGAAGTCCTAGAAGATTTTTAAGAGAATATGAGGATAAGAAAATTTAAAAGGGAGAAGAGTATATATGACATAAAATAAATGAGTTATTTTATGTTACATTAGAATGCAATCTATATTTGTGGTTTATATCAAGAAATTATTTTTTATTTGACTGTACTTTGGGTTCTGGGGTACATGTGCAGATTATGCAGGATTGTTGTATAAGTACACACATGGCAATGTGGTTTCCTGCCACCATCCCCCTGTCGTCTACATCTGGCATTTCTCCCTGTGTTATCCCTCTCCTACCTCCCCACCTCCCACGCTGTCACTCCCTTGGCCCCCCACAACACAACCCAATGTGTGATGCTCCCCTCCATGTGTCCATGTGTTCTCATTGTTTATCACCTGCCTATGAGTGAGAACATGCGGTGTTTGATTTTGTGTTCTCGTGTCAGTTTGCTGAGAATTATGGTTTCCAGATTCATCCATGTCCGTCCAAAGGACACAAACTCATCATTTTTTATGGCTGCATAGTATTCCATGGTGTATATGTGCCACATTTTTCTTGTCCAGTCTATCGTCGATGGACATTTGGGTTGGTTCCAGGTCTTCGCTATTGTAAACAGTGCCACTATGAACATATGTGTGCATGTGTCTTTATAACAGAATGATTTCTAATCATTTTGGTATATACCCAGTAATGGGATTGCTGGGTCAAATGGAATTTCTATTTCTAGGTCCTTGAGGAAGCACCACACTGTCTTCCACAATGGTTGAACTAGCTTACCCTCCCACCAACAGTGTAAAAGTGTTCCTTTTTCTCCACATCCTCTCCAGCATCTGTTTTCTCCAGATTTTTTAATGATTGCCATCCTAACTGGTGTGAGGTGGTATCTCAATGTGGTTTTGATTTGCATTTCTTTAATAATCAGTGATGATGAGCATTTTTTCATAGGCTTGTTGGTCTCACATATCTCTTCTTTTGAAAAGTGTCTGTTCATATCCTTTGCCCACTTTTGGATGGGTTTGTTTTTTTCTTGTACATCTGTTTTAGTTCTTTATAGATTCTGGATATTAACCCTTTGTCAGATGGGTAGATAACAAAAAATTTTCCCATTCTTTTGGTTGCCAGTTCACTCTAATGATTGTTTCTTTTGCTGTACAGAAGCTCTGGAGTTTAATTAGGTCCCATTTGTCTATTTTGGCTTTTGTTGCCAGTGCTTTTGGTGTTTTAGTCATGAAGTCCTTGCCTATGCCTATATTCTAGGTTTTCTTCTAGGATTTTTATGGTGTTAGGTCTTAGGTTTAAGTCTTTAATCCATCTAGAGTTAATTTTATTGTAAGGTGTCAGGAATGGGTCCAGTTTCTGTTTTCTGTACACTGCTAGCCAGTTTTCCCAACACCATTTATTAAACAGGGGATCCTTTCCCCATTGCTTGTTTTGGTCAGGTTTGTCAAAGATCAGATGGTTGTAGATGTGTGGCGTTGCCTCCGAGGCCTCTGTTCTGTTCCATTTGTCTATGTCTCTGTTTTCATACCAGTACCATGCTGTTTTGATTACTGTAGCCTTGTAGTATAGTTTGAAATCAGGCAGTGTGATGCCTCCATCTTTGTTCTTTTTGCTTAGGATTGTCTTTGCTATGTGGGCTCTCTCTTTTGGTTCCATATGAAGTTGGAACCAAAATTGGTTTTTTACAGTTCTGTAAGGAAGGTCATTGGTAGCTTGATGGGGATAGCATTGAATCTATATTACTTTGGGCAGTATGGCCATTTTCACGATATTGATTCTTCCTAACCATAAGCATGAAATGTTTCTCCATCTGTTTGTGTCTTCTCTTATTTCCTTGAGCAGTGGTTTGTAGTTCTCATTGAAGAAGTCCTTTACATCCTTTGTTAGTTGTATTCCTAGGTATTTTATTCTTTTTATAGCAATTGTGAATGGGAGTTTGCTCATGATTTGGCTCCCTGTTAGTCTGTTATTGGTGTATAGAAATGCTTGTGATTTCTGCACATTCATTTTGTATCCTGAGACTTTGCTGAAGTTGCTTATCAGTTTAAGGAGATTTTGGGCTGAGAAGATAGGGTCTTCTAAATATACAATCATCTGCAAATAGAGACAATTTGACTTCCTCTTTTCCTAATTGAATACTTTTTATTTTTTTTTTCTTGCCTATCTGCTCTGGCTAGAACTTCCAATACTACATTGAATAGGAGTAGTGAGAGAGGGCATTCTTGTCTAGTGCCGGATTTCAAAGGGAATGCTTCCAGTTGTTGCCCATTCAATATGATGTTGGCTGTAGGTTTGTCGTAAATAGCTTTTGTTGTTTTTAGATATGTTCCTTGCATACCTAGTTTATTCAGAGTTTTTAGCATAAAGGGCTGTTGTATTTTGTGAAAGATCTTCTCTGCATCTATTGAGTTAATCATGTGGTTTTTGTCTTTGGTTCTGTTAATGGATTACGTTTATAGACTTGTGTATGTTGAACCAGACTTGCATCTGGAATGAAGCCTACTTGATCATGATGGATA